AAACGTTTGAAATTTTTAATGTATTGACTAAGAATTGTTAAATATAATTTTTCCGCATATTAGATCTTGCGTCGGCTCTCATAGCCCATTATTTACTTAATTTGTTAAGATAAGTCTGTATGTCACATTTATGCTCAAAATATGATGTATAAATACATACTACATCATGATATTTTATTAATGCACATAATTGTTTTAGGTTCTAATTAAATTGATAAGACCATATACTAGAATTTATATTCCTTTTATAAGTAAGGAATTGAACATCGACGTTTCGGAAGTGGAAAGTCTCTTGGTATCTTGCATCTTGGACAATACCATTCATGGTCGTATAGATCAGGTAATATTTTTATAATCTTGTAGCGATGTTGGATGCGTCGGGTTCGTCTGCACAATGACGACTGAACGCGCGTGTTTATTATGCGTGGGTGCATGTATACGTACGTGTGTACATGTTATTGGTTGTATGCGTATATGTGCGTGTGTGCTGCTGTAGCTCTGCAGTTGTTGCTGTCATGATTGCTGCTGCTAGATTTTCTTATTAGTATGTACTAATTCTTGGTAAGAATGTGAATTGGTGAAGGAATACTTGTTCTCAGCTTTTAAACCCGATTAGCACAGCCGAGTGCTCGCGAGAAAGTGTGCTCGTTTTTGGCATGGCTGGCTAGTATGGTGATCGGGTTGCTGTTTGACAGGGGTGCACGCGACTACCACAGTCTAGAATTTACAAACGATTCTGTTTATACATAATGTAATTCTCTATATTCTTTACAGGTAAATCAGGTTCTCGAATTGGATAAGAAATCGGTATGTGCTGCGCGTTACAATGCTCTCGATAAATGGGCAGGTCAGTTGCAATCCTTGCATACAGCCATTGTGAACAAAATGTCTTAAGTGGCGTAGCGCACGTGATCCTGCAATAAACACAATCTAATTTCACTTTTGTGTATAGTATATCATAAAAGCCCTATACAGATATATGAAGATTTGAAATCTATTGTGATATAATAAATTTAGCATTTTAGCACGGGAGTTATTTTCATTTCCGTTGTATAAAGTCTATCCCAAAATAAATCGAAGTGAGGAAAATCAAGTGATGCAAAAAGATATACACAGAGGTTAAAATGTCAGGAAATTTTTAGATCGACAGATAATGTACGTGATATCTAATGACTTTCTTATTTACTGAATTTAGCTTGTTTTAATAATAAACTAAGTATAATCCTGAATAAATCAAATAGGAAATAGTGAGAGAGGCAATCAGAGCCACGCGCGGTAATTATTGCGCAATCAATATATACTCGATAAGATAAAATATATTAGTCAATACATATTCGTATTGACAACGAATATGTATTGACTAATATATTTTATCTTATTGACTATATATTGATTGCGCAATAATTACCGCGCGTGGCTC